TCCTCTTTGAGGGACATCGCTACTCGGCTGGCTCACCACCGCCCGGAGTTATCCCACACACTCCTACGTACACCACTACTAATGCGGAGGTGGCTGCGTGCACACGCGCGCCCCTGCAGGCGCCCGTTGCACACAAAGGCTAGCGCTAAAAATAGCCGTATGAATATGCACGCGCCTCTCCCCGTGGCTGCCCTAATCCACGATCTACCACGACTAATGCTACACGAAAAAGGGGATTGCTGCGGCAGGACCCTGGGTGCACGCCTCGCCGTAAAGGCTATTTTTACTATGTAAACGCGCTGTGTAAATACGCGCCAGCGAGCGGGTGGATCACCCTCACCCTCCATCCCAATTACTCACGCGGCGCTGCAGACTCGAAACCCCGCGTAAACCGTAGCAGACGTAGAGATGGTAATCTATGCGTAAATGGCTATTTAAAAAAGGAAGGAAATAAACTATTTGCCAACATACACTTTTTTACATTTTCAATTGCTAATTTCTACACAGACGAATCCGTGTTGAAAATGTCAGCTCGTTAGGCGTCGTAGATCCGAAGATTTTAAGCGTCGAAAATTTGAAAGAATATTAACAGACTGTACATCTGTGAAAAAGAGCTTTATAGCTCATCGGATTCCTCCAGTATAATAAATATTCTGATTATGAAATTATTTAGCTGCTATAAATTCCCACGTGGTGATAGGCCGCGTGGCCAGGTCGCTTCTAAAAAATGAGCTAATAGCTCAGTGAGCTTTAAATGGTAAATACAATAGTTTAGTGTAGGATGGGGTCATGCTCAGATAAATTCCCTACATTGGGCCATATCAGTGGCCAATGTTATCCGAACCTTTGTATAATTCTCACCACAGGGTCTCATCATGAAGCTGTGGGTAATAAAACGCAGCCCTTGGGAAACAAAGGTAGCAGGGCGTGGCGGCTCTGGTCAAACCGCCCTCAATGCCTCATGTGACATAGAGGCTTTAATAAGTGTTCGCTGATAGCAATTCTCCCAGTAGCTTAACGAGGCTATATGGGAATAGTTGACTGTGCTGTATATGTGTGTGTGTATAACGAACGACACTTAAACATGTAAACTACTTTGTTTACGTTTTCTTGATGTTGACTTCCCACCCAGAGCTACAAGTATCTTGATTGTTCAAAGGTTTAATTGATTTGAATAAAAAAGTACTTTTATATCTGGGTCACCATTGAGCAAGAGGTGTTTGGCTCAATGGACGACAAACTGACATTTAAAATAACATTTGACAAAAAAAATTCCTACGTTTTATCCTACATGTGCTTACGATGTCATATAATGAGATAAACCCTTTGGGATCCCTTGCATAGTGGTGCAATCCTTCGTGTTGAAGAATGGCCCACATGGAAGTGGATATCACAGAGCTACCGCTCAGAAAACATTCTTCAAGTGGGGCTATGGTCCACATGGTAGAGGGAACAATTTCCCACCCATCCTGTGTAAATAAGAGTAATATTTGTAGAACGGCCATAAAATATATTTTCTCAGAACTAGAATTTAGCCAAATCAATTGTGTAAGTTATTGATCCCTGTATAGGTTCATGCAAGTACTGTATATGTATCTCCTAAGTCAATGGGGACTGTACTAAGACCATCAGCTCACTGCACTTAAGAGCCCGGTTTAGTCACAACTCATTCTATGTGAATCTATGTGCTACAGTTAGGGAAAAAAAGTATTTGATCCCCTGCTGATTTTGTACGTTTGCCCACTGACAAATAAATTATCAGTCTATAATTTTAATGGTAGGTTTATTTGAACAGTGAGAGACAGAAGAACAACAACAACATCCAGAAAAACGCATGTCAAAAATGGTATAAATTGATTTGCATTTTAATGAGGGAAATAAGTATTTGACCCCCTCTCAATCAGAAAGATTTCTGGCTCCCAGGTATATTTTATACAGGTAACGAGCTGAGATTAGGAGCACACTCTTAAAGGGAGTGCTCCTAATCTCAGCTTGTTACCTGTATAAAAGGCAAACGTGTCCACAGAAGCAATCAATCAATCAGATTCTAAATTCTCCACCATGGCCAAGACAAAAGAGCTCTCCAAGGATGTCAGGGACAAGATTGTAGACCTACACAAGGCTGGAATGGGCTACAAGATCATTGCCAAGCAGCTTGGTGAGAAGGTGACAACTGTTGGTGCGAATATTCGCAAATGGAAGAAACACAAAATAACTGTCCATCTCCCTCGGTCTGGGGCTCCATGTAAGATCTCACCTCGTGGAGTTGCAATGATCATGAGAACGTTGAGGAATCAGCCCAGAACTACACGGGATGATCTTGTCAATGATCTCAAGGCAGCTGGGACCATAGTCACAAAGAAAACAATTGGTAACACACTACGCCGTGAAGGACTGAAATCCTGCAGCGCCCGCAAGGTCCCCCTGCTCAAGAAAGCATACATACATGCCCGTCTGAAATTTGCCAATGAACATCTGAATGATTCAGAGGACAACTGGGTGAAAGTGTTGTGGTCAGATGAGACCAAAATGGAGCTCTTTGGCATCAACTCAGCTCCCTGTGTTTGGAGGAGGAGGAGGAATGCTGCCTATAACCCCAAGAACACCATCCCCACCGTCAAACATGGAGGTGGAAACATTATGCTTTAGGGGTGTTTTTCTGCTAAGGGGACAGGACAACTTCACCGCATCAAAGGGACGATGGACGGGGCCATGTACCTTCACATCTTGGGTGAGAACCTTCTTCCCTCAGCCAGGGCATTGAAAATGGGTCGTGGATGGGTATTCCAGCATGACAATGACCCAAAACACACGGCCAAGGCAACAAAGGAGTGGCTCAAGAAGAAGCACATTAAGGTCCTGGAGTGGTCTAGCCAGTCTCCAGACCTTAATCCCATAGAAAATCTGTGGAGGCAGCTGAAGGTTCGAGTTGCCAAACGTCAGCCTCGAAACCTTAATGACTTGGAGAAGATCTGCAAAGAGGAGTGGGACAAAATCCCTCCTGAGATGTGTGCAAACCTGGTGGCCAACTACAAGAAACGTCTGACCTCTGTGATTGCCAACAAGGGTTTTGCCACCAAGTACTAAGTCATGTTTTGCAGAGGGGTCAAATACTTATTTCCCTCATTAAAATGCAAATCAATTTATAACATTTTTGACATGCGTTTTTCTGGATTTTGTTGTTGTTATTCTGTCTCTCACTGTTCAAATAAACCTACCATTAAAATTATAGACCGATAATTTCTTTGTCAGTGGGCAAACGTACAAAATCAGCAGGGGATCAAATACTTTTTTCCCTCACTGTATGAACCCGGCGACCCAGGTTGGAATCCCGCTCACGGTCGACACCAATGATGATTAATTATCTGAACCGGTATTGGGCCTTCCCTAGGTCGACTCAGCTGGTGTGGTGTGTAAACATCCCCACTAGGGAGACAAAGGCGTCATGGTGCTGGCCACCCCCCTCGTGTGCCGTGCTGGCCTTCATAGGTGCTCGCTAACAGCACTTGCCCCAACAGTCCTGTTTAGGCTATATGGGAGATCTTTGTCTAAAAACGCCACCTATGTAAGTAATTGGTGACCAGGCTAAGGCAATGACCTCGCTGCACTTGAGAATTGTGTTTAATCATTGATTTCTGAAACAAACCCAAGATCCTAGCGGTCATGACTCTGAGGCAGTGAAGGCTTAACCTGGGTAATAGAAACTTGGATTCAAAGCCACAATCTCAGCAATGCTGGATCAGCTCTGAGCTCTGAGCCAGATGACATATTTTTGATGCGAGTGTGAGAAAAGTGAGCTTAAACGAGCCCTCTCGTGTGTATGTGTAACCATAGCAAACTGATAAGTGATGGTAAAACCCACAGCTCACAAACGGCTATTTCAAAGGTGGACTTTGACACTCGGATCTCCAATCTGCTGTGGGAGGCCGCTCAGCAAACACAGGTGAACGAGTGTCAACCTTCAGACGAGATAAAGTGGCGCACGTCACGGATCTATTTAAAATAGAGACGCCACGATGGCTAGGATACGTTAACGACCTTGCCTGGTATACAGGAGGTCGTGGGTTTGATCCCCACCCTTGATGCCTGCTGTATATTTGGAATTTTCGTGTGTCTCTCCCCATGGTTGTTTTCTACGGGTCCTCCGGTTTTTCCCTCCACATTTAGAATCGGTGTGCGTTGATAGAATATTTGGCTACTATCATTTCCACATGATAAGCCACTTCATCGGGCTATCATTTGTGGCAAGGTCGCTTCTGAAAAATAGCTATACAGCTCAATAGGCGATCTGCCCCTGCCAAACACTTACTCCCAATGCAAGGCTGACTCATTACACCTTGCAGAGGATTCCTCTGCTGAATAAAATAGTTTTGCGGTTTAATTTGCGAATGCGAGGTCGCGTTTTAAGTCAATGTTCAAAAAAATCATGGAAGCTGGTTCGTAGGTGCGAGCATTCGTAAGTAAATAAAAAACTTTTTTTAAATTATACCATGAGCTATGTCGCTCTTTTTCAGAAGCGACCTGGCCACAAATGATAGCTCAATGAAGTGGCTTATCATGTGGACATTTAAAGCAGCAACTGTGGGTGTTCGTAAGCACAGGTGTCCGTAAGTCGAGAATAGTCTATACCATTGTTTTAAGCTATTTATAAAAAAAAAGGTGGAGCTGGCATGTTGTAATGGCGAGGCACACTTGGACTTGCAATCCAGCTCGGCAGTTGAAACAACAGGGGGGCAAGTTCCTTAAATCCCCGCCTCCCCGCCCACCTCTGTCAACCCAGCAGCAGTACAAATGGGTAACTGATTGGCAACATCACGTGCGGTGAGGCAAAGTGTGGGCACTCCCCACCTGTCCACCAAGACGTCTCACCAGCACCGAAGACTAGGCCAACGTACTTACCGGAAGGGGCTCTCAAGTGGCGGGGGGGGGGGGCGCTTCCGCCAGCAGTGGCGTGGGCGAGCAAATTGCATGGCTGCACCATTACCCGATTTAACCTTCAGGCAATTTTAACAATTGCCCGCAAATGTGTGTGTCTTTTGTAGGTGGTGGTGGTGGTGATAATGGTGAAGATGACGATGGTGTTGAGCCCTGGGTCATAGCTGTCGCCGTCATTGTGCCACTGTTGGTTTTGGCTGCAGTGGCTGGATCCGTCTTTTTCTTTTGCAAGAGGAAGGGGACTCAAGCAACGTGAGTTCCCAATGATTGATTTAGATCGAGGTGATGAGTATGGTACTGCTCATGGACAAGAGGGGTTGGTTGGGCCAGTGTTGCCAACTCCTTGAAGCAGAATGTAGCAAAAACGAACCCGAAAAAGGTGCCGGATGGTCGCCAAAGCAGTGTTGCCACCTATTTATTGTATTTTACCAGGTAAGGCCCACTGAGCTATATAGCTCTTTTTCAGAAGCAACCTGGCTATCAGAAATGAAGTGGCTTGTCACGTGGAAATTTACAGCAGGCAAACACTCTAAACGCGTGATGTTGATTTTAAAATGTGGAAGGAAAAATCGGAGGACATGGAAAAAAATTGCACGCAACCACGGGGAGATGGAGAGAACGCAAACTCTAAATATACAGCAGGCGTCAGGGTCGGGATTGAACCCACAACCTCCTGGTATACAGGAGGTCAAAAAGGCTTTCTAAAGTAAGAAGAAGAGTTCACAATATCAGAAAAGTCATCAATGTTGACATCTGCACCCATCGGTGCACATCCATCAATGATGCTACGGGCGGCGATGTGTCCCAGCAGGTAGCGAATTCGCCGCTTCCTGTTGCAGAGGTTCACAGTTCGAATCCAGCGGCCGCCAATATTTTTAATACCTTGGCAGGTGCGAGTGTATTAACCATGACGGTCCCGCACACCGCTAAGCTTCACTGTGGACGCATCGGCTCGAGCTATTGTTGTCATCGATGTCTAATGTTTATCTGCAGGAACAAGCGACAACATGGCCGGGACGCTCCAGTAGGTTCCGCACACCAACCGGTAAGCGGCCGTCTGCGCTTGGCACAAACAACGATGAGCCGGAATGATTGCAAGCCACGATGATTCCCAGCCGGAGTGATTCCCAGCCGCAGCGATTCCCAATCGCTGAAAAACGAGCATCGAAATGTCGTGATGCTTGCCGCCCGTTTTTACAGCCCTGCTGGAAAATTCGAGACTATAAATTTAAATAAATAATCTAACGGTTATTCTCCTTCCAGTATTTCTCTCGCCATAATAGAAATAAAAAATGAAAGTGTCTTTGTTGCACGCCCCATTGAACGCAAGGCCTTCGATGCATGTTTGTATATTGAACTACTTTCTCACCGTATGGAGCCAACCGTGCTAATCGGTTGGTTAAGCCAGGGGTCGGCAACAATAATAACAATCAGAGACTATTTTTTTTCGAATTTGGCAAAGAAAAACTCCCTATTTCAAGAGCTGCAATGTATTTGGTGAATACAAGACGGTGATCCTTAATAACGTCACGAAGCAGCAGTCCTTAAATAGTCGCATGTTGCTGACCCCTGGGTTCGAAAAATCCAGAGACAGACCCAGTTTGAAGCTGGCTATGTGTAGACTGCCAATGCACTCTGATAGAAAATCATAATCATTATTCATCTTGGAAAATCCGATGAGCTATGAAGCTCTTTTTCACAGATGTCCAGTGGGGTGGGTGATGTCAACCTTCTCGTGGCCCACCCTGTTGTGTGAACGAAGTTTACAGAAAGTTAATCATGAATGATATCGCTAAGGAAACCATATGTCGCCAGTCCACCTCTGGGTTACAGCAGAAATAACAAGCCTGGCAACAAAGGTCCTCCTCAGGACCAGATGAGCCGATCCATCGGCCCCTTGGTTCGTCCATGCCAACTAAATGTTGAGGGCTTATCCCGAGCGAAGACAGATGTCCTCGCAAAAGGTCCTTCAGCAAGAAAACATCGACATCCTTACTATCCATGGGACACATGTGGAGGAAAGAAGCTCTCTTTGATTGAAGATTCCAGGCTACATCCTTGCTGATTCCAAGGGCCACGCTAAACACGGTCTGGATACTTACATCACACATCACATCAGACACAATGGAAGTCATTCAGACAGACAACGACTTCACAATTGGTAAAATAATCGCTGATATCGTCGTATACAATCTCTACAAACTGCCAACAATAACCTGGCACCTACCACCATTGCCAGCGGTACAACATCCCGTAATCTACATAGGCGACTTCATTAGCCATCACACGATGTGGGGCTACCCGGTTAATGAACTGGCAGGCGAACAAATCCTTGATTGGGCATCTGCACAAGAGCTTTTCCTCGTGTTTCACGCCAAGCAACAATGCAAATTCCACTCTGGATGGTGGAATAGGGGATGCAACTCAGACCTGTGCTTTGTAACTACAGATTAAGAATGGCTCAGCCTTTGCCCACCACGTGCAAAGTCCTGCCTCGCTTCCCACACAGCCAGCACAAGCCCGTGATCATCCATGTTGGCCATGAAATCTCAGTAATAACCAATCACACCAAGACCACGCTGGAACTTCGGACGGGTAAAATGGCCTGGTTTTAAGGCTGCTATCGAAAAGAATATCCACCACATCTTAATAACCCTGAAAGGGTTGAGCAGTTCATCATGCTCGTGAAGAAAGCCGCTAGGGATGCGATTCTGTGGGGCTATTGGGGGTCCTACACCCCTGGCTGGACTGCCGAAAGTGAAAATCTTATCCGAGAACTTCAAAGTACGAGTGACCCAGAGATCGTAACAGCCCTTCTGGAGTGGCTATATTCTGCCAGACAAGCAAAGTGGGCGGCGTTGATGGATTCTTTTGACTTCACGCACTCCTGCCGCAGAACATGGGGGTTACTGCGAAAGCTTGGAGCGGCACCCTCAGAATACTGGACTCCTAAGGCGATGGCTAACAGGATAGCTTCCCAGCTTCTCGACAATGCAAAAACAATCGAAAGTCAATACAAGAACGCCCAGTAAAACAAGCTGCAAAGATACACTCTTCACCAGTAACAAAAACTCTCCTGTGTCTGCAGCTTTACTTCCAGGATAAATATATGCCGCACTAGTGACAGGTAAAGCCACAGGAATAGATGTTTTTTTTTTACCCGCAATTCCTAAAACACCTCAGCAGCAAAGGAAGAACCTGGCTGGCGAATTTTTTTTCAAAAATCATCGCCACCAACAAGCTACCAAGACTTTGGAGAAAAGCAAAAGTAATTTCTCTCCTCAAGCCAGAAAAACCTGATGATGACCCGCACAGCTACAGGCCAATCTTTCTTCTTTGTACACCAGCAAGTTAATTGACGCAGATGATCTAGCACTGGCCAGTCAAGCAAAGACACTCAAGACATCTTGAACACTGACGTAAATAATTTGGGGATTATTTATACTCCTGGCGACCTAAGCTAACCTCAAACAAGACAGCATCCTCAGCGTTCTATCTCAACAACGCGGAGGCAAATAGTACGCTGAAGATCGAGTTTTGTGCTAAAACCATCCCCCAAAATGCACTCCCGATATTCCTTGGCATGGTGCTCGATCAAAATCTCACTTTAGGCAACATATTAAGCAGTTGAGCAACGAGATAGAAACCGGCACAAACATCATCCAAAAACTGGTGGGAAATAGGTTTGGGCTGTTATTGCCGAATACCATGCACTGCGACGCTCACCCTCACGCATTCAACGGGATATTATTGCTCACCTGTGTGAAGACGCAGTGCTCACAATCGAATTATTGACATGCAACTGAACCTCGCAATGTGTACCATCTCAGGTACGCTGAAGTTGATGCCGATCCCCCAGTGGCTCCCAGTGCTCACCCCACATCGCTCCACCACAAATTTGTCGTAAAACAGTGGCCATCCGGGAGTATCAAAAACTTCTCGTCAGCCCACACCTTCCGATAGATCGGGATATAAACCCAGCACCGCCTGTTCACCTAAAATCACGCCACCCCTTCTGAATCACAGCAGCCTCACTCCACGCCACAAATACAAATGGAGGCAAGAGATGGAAGCAAGTCTTGACTGCGGCTGACGTAAAAATTAAACACCTCGCACAGCGACCCGACCGTCGAACCTCCCGGTTTCAACCTTCCACGTTTCCAATGATCAGTCATCAAGCGAATGGGGACTGGGCATGGCCGATGCGGCCACCTGATGCACAAATGGCGCATCGAAGATTGGGCGGCCTGCGAGTGCGGCCACGAATTCCAAACCATCGACCACATCGTAAACACTCCGCTGCTGTCTTCGCTCCTTTAAAGGAGGAACGGACGAGATCCACTCTGCTTTCGAACAGACAATTGAGTGAAATAACAAATCTAAAATTACATCTGTAATCTGATGCTATTAATCCATACGAGAGAAGAAGAAAACAGATGTCCTGTGAGGGCGGGTCAGGAAGTTAAGACAAACAATAGAAAAAAACGACTGGAGTGCAATGTATGTGTAGAGACGTAAATAGAGTCTCTATGGCGTGTGCACCATCTATGTTCATGAGCAGGTAGCTGTGTGGATTGCATCCCTTTCTTTGGCACCAGTGGAGACATGGCAGGGAAGCGGGCCCTAGAGGGCATGGTCTCTTTGCAGAGAAAGAGAGGGCACGTTAACGACACGGGGGCTCGAAAAGGGGACCCGAAAAGGGGGCCCGAAAAGGAGGCTTGAGGGACACGTGACGCTGGCCCCGGTTCCGTCGGGAGAAACCGAGCAGGGGGCGTGGCCGGAGGCGGAGCGAGGCCACGCTCAAGAGGATAAGAGGGATGGGGCGGAGCGATCGTGGTTGTCTGGGAGAGGGAACTCACCGTGCTACGTCGCTTCAGCCATCGGTTAGGTTGTATTTTAGGTTTCGTGGGTCAGGCGAGTTACAGTCCTGACCCAGTTGCATGGTGACCTGGTTGGAGTGTAGTTAACCGATTGTGTAGTTAAAGTAGTAGCCACGTTGGGCTGTGTAATAAACGTGGTGCCTCCAAATTGCAGTGTGCGTCTCTGTGGAACCCACTACATATGTGAAAGGTAATGAAATAATAATAAAAATCTATAAATAAAAAACATACTTTCAAATTAATTCTAGATTTGAAGTTTCCGTGACTGCAATTATTCACAATCTTTGGATATTTCGGTAAAGTCACGTAGGTAAAAAATAAAATAAATTTTATCAAATCACGACGTTTAGGAGGCAACACAAGCCTCCGTCATCAGGTGGGATAGTCACAGCAAGAAGTAATTTGCTGTAATGGACAAGAGCTGCTCGTAACAAGGATATTATATAAGGCAAGAGGGGGGGGAGAAGCCAGGGGGGAGAGAAGTAGAGGGCGGGGAGGGGGGGTGTGGAGTAGGGGAGGGGGGGGTTGAGTGAGCATCAGCCACCTGGTACGCAACACGGCTGGTGCAAATAATGCCGGAGCTGGGAGAGATGCCGAGGCCCGCGGGACGGGGTGTGGAGTGGGGGGGGGGGGGGGTGGGGAGTATCAGCCACCTGGTCAACGACACCGCCGGTGTGACACAATGTTGGAATGGTGCACCGAGCGGGTCTAGGGAGTGGAGTAGAGTGTTGAAGAGACTGGAGATACGGGTATGAAAGAAAATATAAAGCAACTAAGATTTTACCTGGTTAATAACACCCTTCCAATGATTGCTCAATTTGAATCCATCCTCTCGGTTGAAGTTATGTCTGTGTTTATATATCTGGATGGCTTCATGTACAAACCTTTGATAGTAGCCCGTCGGTTTGCAGAGTACCTTGGTCTCGGAAAAAAACATATATCATGAGACCCCACCGCGTTATAGCAGTGATCAGCAACTGCGGAGGAACCAGTTCTGCCATGTTTCAAATCTGCCTTGTGCTCGCGAATGCGGTCCGATACATGTCGTTACGTTTCCTCCATAGTAACAATCACCACACATGCAACTAAGTTTGTAGACTCCAGGGTATTGCAAGTCAGGAATGACATACTTTACGGATGGGATTAGATCACGGATTTTGTGTACTGTACTGAATCAGACCTGGATCTTGTGTTTGTTTAGAATTTTGGAAATATTTTTGGTAACGCCTGCTATGTATGGTAACGTGATGGTTTTGATCGGAGTCTCACTTTCTGCCGATTTTTCAAAACTAAATGCAAGCTTAGGCAAGGCAGCAAAACAACAACTAGACAACGCAGTCCCTTCAATAACACTGCGCATTCTAATTGAACTATTGCCCAGGCATAGGGTCAATTTGTCAAGTTTTTGTCGTTGTTGTTCGGGTGTTGTCTGTCTTCTCTCCGCCTCGTGGTTACAGAATGACCACGCTAACAATGACGTGGAGACCCCTAGAGCCCAGCCACATGGAAAAGGAGCGCCCACTGAAGGGGGCATTGTGCAACAGATCCCCAGGTAACCTCACTGACCGGTATTCATCTCACCGATCAACAAGTCCGGTGGTGATAGCTCACCGTTAATAATAAGAATAAATTTCATTTATTTGTAAGGCACCTTTCACTAATGTCTCAAGGCGCCTCATGAGAATAAAGATAAGGAAAGGCCAAGGGAGAAGTAAAAGCTCAATAGAATAAACTGACTTAAGAATATTTTATGGTTCTTTCGGTAAAGTCACGTAGATAGAAAAAAAACACAAGCAATCGTCATCAGGAGAATGATCAGGAAAATGATGACAATTGCTTGTGTTGTGATCGAAACGTCGTGATATTTTTCTTCTTTTTTCTTCACTTTATTTTTATTTTTTTATTATTATGATATTACTGTTATTACTGTTTTCTCTTTACGTGACTTTACCGAAAGAACCATAGAATATGAATTCCTGCAGTCACGAAATATTTAAGTCGTAATATTTGTTTTAAGACGAGACTTAAAGGTATCCACATTATCAGATAACTTGCCATTTTATTGAGGGGGACGTTACCTTGGTGTGGTGTGGGACTGTTTTGTTGTTATTCCTGCTGCCTTGCCCAACCACGATAAAATCAGACATATATATAAATAATGGATAATTAATTTCTATTTCGTGACATTCTTACCATTTTCTCTATTTTGCACTCCTATTGTACGCTGTATTGTTTGCTGATGTAACGTAGGTGACCCCGTGCCCAGACTGGACATCTGTGGAAAAGAGCTTAAAAGCTCATGTAACGTCACCCCTAACGGGCACCTCCCCCCCCACCCTCTCTTCTGCAGTTCATCAAGTGAGAATAAAACAACAGAGTATGCACAAGTGAGTGAACTGACTGCCACCATCACTATTTTACAATGTCTCCCCTACCAGCCCTATCACTATCTGTTTACCCCTACCATCCCTATCACTGTCTATGTACGCCTACCAGCTCCATCTCTATGTGAGTGCCACTACGAGCCCTATCCCTGTGTGTGTGTACCCCGGCGTTATAATGGTGTGCGTTCCGCGTTGTGTGAAAAGTGTTCCCGATTGGAAGAAGCGTTCGTCATGGCGACAACGAGCCACGGTGTAATTGCCGCGCATTGTGCGAGGGCTCGCCATCACACCTTGATGACCGCACCGAGTGAGCTATTTGACCCCTGTCAGGATGGCAACTCTCTGAACTCGACTTTGAAGGCTCCTACGCACTTCTGCCCTTCACTGTCGTTCCCCCCCCCACACCCATCCCCTTCCGTGGTGCCTCTAAAATGGGAACTGCAGATTGCAGTGCCTCCTCCCGGTAGAGACAATCTCACCGACGGAGGGCTGAATGGGAAACCGAATCGTGGCCACGTCAAGGCACCAAACGCAGATGACAACCCTGCTGGCAGGTAAGGGGCACCACGGTGGCGAGATGTTAACAACCTCGCCTGGTATGGAGGAAAGCGTGGGTTCGATCGCGACCCTAACACCTGTATATTTGGAGTTTGTGTGTTCTCTCTTCCCGTGGTCACGTGGATATTTCTCCGGGTCCTCCGGTCTTCCCCTCCACATTTAGAAACGACGTGTTTAGAATATTTGGCTGCTTCTATACATTTCCATGTGATAAGCCACTTCGTTGAGCTATAATTTATGATAGCCAGGTTGCCTCTGAGAAAGAGCTACATTGCTCAGTGGGCCTTTCCTGGGAAAATAAAACATTGTTTAGTTTAGGTATTTTAGATTTTCGAATCGTGGTTGACGAGCACAGCCACCTGTCCAAGGCCCAAAATATCAATTAGGGCTGGAAAAACAAGCGGTGCTGTGAAATAGATGAAGGTGTTGACACCGTTTCTTGCATTGAGCGAAGGTTGTGGTCAGGAATTGGCAAAAATGGGCAATGGGAAGGAGTTGCAACGAGTGGAGTCGTGCACTGATAGAAAGGGGGAAGCGTTGTGACCTGCAGTGTGGTGAGTGAGTGGGTGATTGGGTGGTTGAATGGATAATTGAGTGGGTGAGTCAGTGAGTGGGAAGGGTTACCCGAGTTGTGGGTGGGGCTACATGAGTGTGGCGACCTGAGCGCTTGGTTGGGCTACCCGAGTTGTGGGCGGGGCTAACTGAGTTGTGACCCGGGGGGGGGGGCTACCCGAGTTGTGGGCAGGGCTACCTAAGTTGTGGGCGGGGCTACCTGAGAAGTGGGTGGGGCTATACGAGTAGCGGTGAATGTCTCACAGAACCATGCGTGATCACGATTTGTCTTCCTGGTCTGTGTACGTGTGTACTGATGCCTGCTGGTGTGTGTACGTGGTTTTCGTGTGTCTTGTCTTCAGTGGTGGAAAACAGCCACCACAAGCTGCTCCGGTAACGTTATTTCCTATGCATACACAACAACCACAATAATCATCATCCTTGCATTTGTAGTGACTCACTCGGAGACAGGGTTCTTACGGCACCTTCTTTATTCTACACGTCAGGGAACTACAGACGCCCTACATGCTTACATGCTAGTCACACATCCATCTCTTTTGACGGAACTACCTAGCTATTACAGTTGACAGGCTGTCTAGCTAGCGGAGTCTAAGGGTGGTCGACACAGCGAGGGAATACACTTCCAACAACAGCCCTGAGCTCTCACCCCAGGCCCCCTTTTATCCTCCCGTGGTAGACACGCCCCCTTTCTGGAACTTACTAGCAGGTTCCCGGGCTTCCAGATGGACTCCTTCCTGAGCTTCCCATTAGATCTCCTCGCCCCCATATATGCTCCTTCTGCTGACGTGTGTACAGCCCTCTGCTGTCAGTACCACTTTTCCGTCAGCAGCCAGTGTTATTACACTACACATGTATAGGGCGTTTGACTCCATGCCCCAAAATCGCAAAGGGCATCTCATCCCAGAGATTCAAAGGAAACCCCTCCCCCCGCCCTCCTCTAGTGCCAGGTGTGCCTGTGTAGCATTACCGTATTTTCCCGCATATAACCCGCGGGGAATACCACTTTTGACAAACAAAACAAGACCCTGCGGGGTATATGGAGGTGCGGGCTATCCCGAAAATATTTTACACGTGTGACTTGTCATAACTCGTTTAATTTTTTCATGGTAGGACTATCCACTATGCAACACTTACCTTTGACTAAAGCACTGCTGGATAAATCACTCACACTAAAATTAGACATGTCATCACGTTTTAAATGATTCGAATTGTTTGTACAATGAAACGATAATGTTTGAAGTGGGCGCACTTTGTTTACCGGCGACGGGAGAGCTGGGGGGAGAGAGAGGTGGGGGGTTCGGGGCGAGGCAACGGCGTTACCATAGTGCAGCTATTGTCTGCGCAGTGTGCAATCTATCAATGCTAAAACTGTACAGTACTTACTTATCTACCAGTTATGTGTTACTTATTTATTGGATATTTACTTTTGTTACTTATTTACTGTTTTAAGTTCACTCATTTCAGGTTGGTTTTTTTCTTCATGCACGTTATGATTTTAATGTTAACAATTGATAGTGTAATGTATTACAAATGTAAACTTTGTATTAACATGATGGAATTAAGCTGCGGTAACGACGTTAAAGATATGAATGCATGCGGGGTATATGGAGATGCGGGCTATCTGAAATTAGTTTTACACAAAACGCTATTTTTGCGGGTTATATGCGTATGCGGGCTATATGCGGGAAAATACGGTAATTTTGTATTAAGTCTGGCCAAAGGGGGAGACGTTTGCTTCGCGTTTCTAAAGTGTGGGTACTCCCATGCCTTCCCAAACACACACCGGCCAGTGTGGAAGAGCAGGCCAAATATCCACTGCTGGTGGTCTCAAGTGGAGGCTCTTCCTCCAGCAGTGAGCAAGCAATTGCAGGGCTGCTGCTTTAGCCATTGTTTTTGACCCAGGTCGCCCTTGCAAATGGAACTCACCTGGTCACTTGAGTTTCTCACCTGGCTAAACCAAATCCACTTGACTCACTCACTCATTTACTCAGCATCCCACTTACTCCCCATCTCCCTTGTTCACTTACTCACTCAGCATCTCACTCACTCGCTCTTCCAGATGACACTCTTACCTGGTCTCTTGAGTTTCTCATCTGGTTAAGCAAAATCAACTTGTATTTGATCTCATGTACTATACCGCATACATACATAGTACATATACAAAATCGGTGATTGAAGATTACGCCTGATGACGGAGACGATGAATATGATTGTGTGTTCTGATCAGGCGACGATTTACGCTGAACTCAATCAAGAGAACTTGGCTAAGAAACGTCCAGTTGGATCCACATCAGCTGGCAAACCTACAAGGTAAACTTGTAACATTCGGTTTTTCAAGGGCCCGGAATATATTCCCCCCCACCCTCCCCTTCTATTTTACACCAATCCTGCGATCGTTCATCTCGCATCGTCACGACTCGGAGGGTCCTCTCCAATGACTCGCGGAGCTGTGCTTGACCCTCCGTGTTGTAGAACGGCCCACAGAAGTGGATATCGCAGAGCTACAACCTCCTGCGATCCCTTCCTCAAGTAGTCAACCCCGTCGATTTAACATCACGCACGACGCTGCCTCTGTTCCATTCCTTTCGCACTTTTCGTTGTAGTAAATGCCGCGAACGTACGTGTGGCATGTTGAACTTCTTTCGCACTGTATGTAGCCAACCGTGCTAATCGGAAGTGCGGATGACGGACCACAAACTGAACACAAAAAACGTAGTTCTAAATTAATTAGTTTGTCATCTAGATGATGATTTAGAAGTGGCTTTCTAATATCAGAAGAGGGTTCTTGACGACCACAGAAGCGCATCTGAAAGCACCCAATCCAGTGACCATCTTTAACAGGGGCGGAGCCAGGATTTCAGGCCGGGGTGACATTCAACAAATTTTAATTTCAAGAATGATCAGAGTCAGGCTTTTGAACTAGACGCCATCGGTTGGCGACACACTCTGACAATGCAGTTGCACGGAGTCCATCAAACCGAGTGTCGTACACTTATACGCAGAATATCACCCCTGTCACCCTCCCCTGGCTCCGCCCCTGATTATTCTTTAAATCAGAATATTTACAAAATGGGACCCTTTTTTGCCAGTCTCAAAGTATCAAGAAATAAGAAAAGATTTTACCCTTTCTGGCAATAAAACGGGAATTGTGTTAAGATGTTCAAACACAAAATAGAAACATTTTGCAAGGAATCAAGTTACTGCATGAACCACAGAGTACTTGTGGTGAACATGCAAACAAACATGCTCTGATAAAATATGCATTGTCTACCTCTGGCGTAGCCCAATCAGTTTTAAAAGAGAGGTTCAACCCATGCCAGTGGTGTAGTGGTTAGCACGGCTGGACTTTGCAACCCAGCAGAGATCGCCCGTTCATTCTCCGGTCATTCTAAATGAAGGAAGAACCGGTCACTCATCCTGTGCCCTTCATGCGTCCACTTTTATTATGACTATCTCTATGGCCCTTTGCTCTGGACTCCGAGGACAAAGTGATTTCTTGCACAATCGAACGTCGAGGTACTTTTCGCTTCTTCTGCTATTTACAGCCCTAGCAGAGGAGCCACTGGTAGGAAATTACACGTTGCTATGGCAGGGGCGAGAGTCTCCATAGGACAACCTCTGTTGTTTTCTTCCCCATAAAGTGCTAGGGTCTGTTCTCCTATGTAACGCCGGTAAAATACGAAATTGTTTAGTTTAGGTATTTTTTATTTTGGAATCAACGAGCACAGCCACCTACCCAAGGCCCAAAATATCAAGCAGGGCCAGAAAAACCTGCGGTGCTGTGAACTAAATGAAGGGATTAACACCATTTCTTGCATTGAGCGAAGGTTGTGGTCAGGAATTGGCAAAAATGGACAATGGGAAGGAGTTGCAACGAGTGGAGTCGTGCACTGATAGAAAGGGGGAAGCGTTGTGACCTGCAGTGTGGTGAGTGAGTGGGTGATTGGGCGGTTGAATGGATAATTGAGTGGGTGAGTCAGTGAGTGGGAAGGGCTACATCGAGTTGTGGGTGGGGCTACGTGAGTGTGGCGACCTGAGCAGTGGGTGGGGCTACCCGAGTTGTGGGCGGGGCTACCTGAGTTGCGGGCAGGGTTACCTGAGAAGTGGGTGGGGCTATACGAGTCGCGGTGACTGTCTCAGAATACATGCGCGTTAACGATTCGTCTTCCTGGTCTGTGTATGCGTGCACTGATGCCTGCTGGTGTGTGTACGTGGTTTTCGTGTGTCTTGTCTTCAGTGGTGGAAAACAGCCACCGCAAGCTACTTCGGTAACGTTATTTCCTATGCATATACAACAACAATCATCATCATCATCATCCTTGCATTTATAGGGCGTTTGACTACATGCCCCAGAATTGCAAAGCGCATCAAAGGAAGCCTCTCCCCCCGCCCCTCCCTCAGTGCCAGCTGTGCCTGTGTGGCATTAACTTTGTATTAAGCCTGGCCATAGGGGGTGACGTTTGCTTCGCGTTTCTAAAGTATGGGTACTCCCACGCCTTTCCAAACGCTCACCGGCCAGTGTGGAAGAGCGGGCCAAATATTCACTGCTGGTGGTCTCAAGTGGAGGCTCTTCCGCCAGCAGTGAGCAAGCAATTGCAGGGCTGCTGCTTTAGCCACTGTTTTTGACCCAGGTCGCCCTTGCAAATGGAACTCACCTGGTCTCTTGAGTTTCTCACCTGGCTAAACCAAATCCACTCGACCCACTCACTCATTCACTATTGCACTCACTCACCATCTTACTCATTCACTCACTCCACATCTCACTCGCTCTTGTAGATTACACACTCACCTGGGCTCTTAAGTTTCTCACCTGGTTAAGCAAAATCAACATGTATTTAATCTCGCGTACTATATCGCATACATACATGCATAGTACATATACATCATCGGTGATTGAAGATTACGCCTGATGACGGAGACGATGAATGTGATTGTGTGTCCTGATCAGGCGCCGATTTATGCTGAAGTCAATAAAGAGAAAGCGGATAAGACAAGTCCAGTTGGATCCACATCAGCTGGCAAACCTACAAGGTAAACTTGTAACATTCTGTTTTTCAAGGGCTCGAAATATTTCCCATCCCCACCCCCTCTATTTTACACCAATTCTTTGATCATTCATCTCGCATCGTCACGACTCGGAGGGTCCTCTCCGATGACTTGCGGAGCTGTGCTTGACCCTCCGTGTTGTAGAACGGCCCACAGAAGTGGATATCACAGAGCTACAACCTCCTGCGATCCCTTCCTCAAGTAGTCAACCCCGTCGCTTTAACATCACGCACGATGCTGCCTCTTTTCCATTCCTTTCGTACTTGTCGTAGTAAATGCTGCGAACGTACTTGTGGCATGTTGAACTTATTTCGCACCGTACGTAGCCAAGCATGCTAATCGTAAGTGCGGGTGACGGACCACGAACTAAACACAAAAAACGCATTTTCTTGGTTCTTTCGGTAAAGTCACGTAGAAGGGAAATAATAAAATAATAAAATATATACAACGTGACTTTACCGAAAGAACCAGGAATATTAATCACTGCAGTCACGAAAGCTTTAAATCAAAAATACAATACAAATTGTCACGACGTTTCGACTGCAACACAAGCAATCATCATCAGGTGTGAAAACCATAGCAAGAAAATTTGAAAAAAGTGGCGTTTTTTTCTTAACGTTAATAAAAAAAACCGCCACTTTATTCAAATTCTGATAAAATATGCATTGTCTGTCTCTGGCGTAACCCAATCAGTTTTAAAAGAGAGGTTCAATCCCTGCCAGTGGTGTAGTGGTTAGCACGGCTGGACTTTGCAACCCAGCAGAGATCGCCCGTTCATTCTCCAGTCATTCTAAATGAAGGAAGAACCGGTCACTCATCCTGTGCCCTTCATGCGTCCACTTTTATTATGACTATCTCTATGGCCCTTTGCTCTGGACTCCGAGGACAAAGTGATTTCTTGCACAATCGAACGTCGAGGTACTTTTCGCTTCTTCTGCTATTTACCGCCCTAGCAGAGGAGCCACTGGTAGGAAATTACACGTTGCTATGGCAGGGGCGAGTGTCTCCATAGGACAACCTCTGTTGTTTTCTTCCCCATAAAGTGCTACGGTCTGTTCTCCTATGTAACGCCGCGTGTTGTTGTCATAGCACGAATTGGATCTAACGCTATGAATGTATTAGCGAGCAAGTGTTTTTACAACGTGGATGCGGATTGGATACATAACGCAATTCAAGTGAACGGAACTACGTCGCATGAGTAGGAATAAGTGGTGTGTACGGATGCCTCGGTGTAGCATCATCGCACAAGGCATTGGGATGCTGCTGGATGGTTCTAGACGCTACCCACGCGCCACAGTCTTTGTTCGGCCCGCGTTACGCATCTCACGGCATTATCGCGGACTGTGGTTTACCCCCTAAGTTATATATTGTTTATTATAACGCGATTTTTCCATAACGTGCTGTTCTTCAGGAACGCAATTGCCACCGCGTCATGGGAGAACGGGCTAGACTCATTTTATTGATCTCTCTCTCTCTCTGTTGCTTTGCCTTCCAGTTCGAGCTTCCAAGCAGGAGGTGATGACGCAAATGGGCAACAGGTGTGACACCCACCACGGACGCAAGAGCACACAGCAGCAAGAACAATACCGTTTCTCTACCATGCACTCCTAGCGTCTTGTTGCATTGTTGTTGTAACTTGCTGCGTTGGCAGCGGCAGCGTAACCCGTTGACGCGCTCCGCTACGAACCCCGGCTATGACCTGAGTTCGATTCCCGCTCACGGTCACAAACCCCGGTAACAATAATCTGAACCAGTCATGGGCCTCCCCGAGGTCGTCGCGGCCTCAAATGAGTACCCGGTGCGGTGTGTAAACATCACCGCTGGGGAGACAAAGGCGGCCGGTGAGTGGTGTGCCGGCTCTCGTGTGCTGTGCCGGCCTTCATCGGTGCTCGCCAACAGCACTTGCCCCTACAGTCTGGTAAAGGCTATGCGGAGAGGATTTTTGTCTTTGTTAACTTCAATATGGGACCTTTATTGACAGTATTAAAGTATAACAATAGGTTTGACCCTTTCTGGCAATAAAACAGTTTTGTAAAGATGTTAAAAACACCAAACAGAGTCCTAATTCAAGGAATCCTGTCTGCATTAACCACACGTATTTGTGGTGAACATGCAAAAAAAAAAAACATGCTCCGATAATACATGTGCATTGTCTTTGAAACTGATTGGTCCATACCAAGTACAGCTTTCTGTTGAGCCTAGTGTCAAAGTGTTAGACCTGTTTGGTGTTTTAACATCTTGACACAACTGTTTTATTGCCAGAAAGCGTACAACTTATTGTTATATTTCAATATACTGGCAAGAAAGGTCCCATATTGTAGCTGCTCACCCCGAGATATAAGTGCCGTGGTAGTGGCATTGCCCTGGTGCTGCCCGCCTTTTGGCGTTTTCTGGCCTAACACTTTGAGACGAGGCTCTAAAGAAAGCCGTCTCTGGTGTGGACCAATCAGTTTCAAAGACAATGCCCATATATTATCAGAGCGTGTTGTTTTTTGTTTGCATGTTCACCACAAGTACGTGTGGTTAATGCAGACAGGATTCCTTGAATTAGGATTCTGTTTGGTGTTTTAACATCTTGACACAACTGTTTTATTGCCGTAAAGGGTAAAACCTATTGTTATACTTTTGTAACTTGCTGACCCTGTGCCCCCGCTGGACATCTGTCAAAAGGGAGCTTCACAGCTCATAGGATTGCTGCTCCTGCCGGAAGTCTAAATGAAGCTTCTGACTGATAAAGATTCTGAACTGACATCCACCGCAGTGCTCGTACATGTGCTGACCCAAGTGGTTGCGCAAGACTTAATGATTGTCACCAAATGCTGGAACGAGATTTACTTATTTGGTGACTGTGTTGTTGCTGCCGCCGCCGCTGCAGTTGTGCACAAGCATCAACAACAACGCATCGCGTTCCATGTCAATAACCTCACCACTGCGTGTGTGACCTTAAAAATAATTATAACATAGATATAATAAGCGGCGTTTTGGGAAATGGCCCTGCTGCATGTCACACGGCATCATGTATGTGCTCTGAAGAAGGGTCGTTGCCTGAAACGTCGCCGATCTAACATACATTTCGCTTTCAAGGCTACACACGATGTTTCTGCCCATTGTTATATAATGGTGTCTCATGGTGGCGATCGATGTGACTCACAGCTGCCCTGTGCATTACGAAACCCGTGACCCTCTAGCACCTGCAAAAGCCAAAGCCAAACGTACCTCCAAAGCCGAAGAAGGGTTCCCAGAATAACGCCGATTGAAGGTACCGTGTCTTCACGTGTCTTCAAGTATCATGATGTGTATTCACTTGTCATCACGGGCGTTCGGGATTCCAGTCCACATTATTCGGGGTAACGGTGCAGCCCCGTAAATTGCTTTCTCACAACACTGCTGGCTGTCTATTGTGAGTCTGTGGGTCTGTGTGCAAGTCCGTGGATCTGTGTGTGTGCACGTCTGTGGGTTCTATTTGTGTGCAAGTTTGTGGGTCTGTGTGTGTTCGAGTCTGTGGGTCTGTGTATGCAGTAGGTCAATGGGGCTTCTGTAATTAATTGGTGACCAGACTAAGAGCCATCGACTCACTAAATTTGAGATCCAGGTTTAATCCCAGGCAGAGGCTGGAACCTGGATTTGAACCAGGGTCCCAGTGGTGCCAGTTCCACGTCGCTGATTTTGGATCCACTCGGCTGCCTCTTCCACCGTGTCTCCCCTGGTGTCTCCACTGTAATCTCCCTATGTATCCCGCGGTATCTCCCACGGTGTCTCCCACTGTCTCCCCTGTTGTATATTTCGGGTCTTGAAAAATTAATAAAAATAGTAAAAATTAAATGAAAATGGGTAAATCTGTAATTATCCGGAAGTATGCTAATTTATGTAATAATTCAAATAAATTATGCTAATTGCGGAGGTGTAATTGCATGAAGTTATGCATGCAATTATGCTAATGTATGCAATTATGATAATTAGGCTCTGCCTCAATGTCTAGGGTTGTATTATCAATCGGGATAATACAATGATTCTCGCTTTAACTTTTACTGATTATGTTTTAGTGTGTCAGGTCTCAAAATTCAGATCTCACCGCAGAATACAGTTCTTATAGTTAAGATTATTATGCATGAACTTAGGAAGGCACCACTCAAACTCTTTTGTGTTAAGCAACTTTAATCTCTAAACAAAAACATAACACTCTAATGTGCAAACTCTTATGCTAGGAATGACAATGACAACACAGTCCTCCTGGTGATGTCCTCCTCATTGATCCGTACATTTAACCCTCAATGATCACGTTTGTTAAACTGGGTAACAGAACAATCGGTTTATTCCTCAGAGTAAAGCGAGCATACACGGCGATGGGAAAAAAGTCCTTAAAAATTAACGTGACAATAGTCATACAAACAGTAATAAAGGAACATGCCTAACGCAATAGTTATCATCTAATTCATTGGCAAGATTATGCAATTAACAAAAACGAATGACTAAAATACTTCTAAACAATCGCATTCATGTAACTAGTCGGGCAGCAATGCTTTTCACGATCAGCTGATATTTAACGCACCATCTTGGAATGGCAACCCTTCTTGAAACACAAAGACAACTTTTTGGAACAATCTCATTAGTCCCGATATGCGTGTTATGTGCGTGTGTCTTCTTTGCCACTTGTTGACTTGGCGGCTTACTCGGTACGGCGTTCCTTGTGCTGAAAAATACCTCGGGTTCCCGGCAGGGCCGCTGGGACGGCGTGTGTGTGTGTGTGTATTAAACACATGGCGCTCTTGCCTGTGCCAACACTCTTCCTCTTGGCGTTGCAGCTCTCTCCACTGCTGGTTGAGTTGGCGCGATGCTCGCCGTCGGCGGTGCGCGATGATTCCGTCACCAGATAGCGCTCGCAACTCGTCCGCTGGTCGCCGTTCCTCACTCTCGTCTTAGTTCCCAGCTGGTGCTGGTCGATGAGTGTATGGGTCGAACCCACGCCGCTCTCGCCGGCGCTCTCCTCTTCCTCACGGGCGGCTGGTCAGGCTCTTTCCACTGCTCCGGTGCTCTCTCCTTGCTCGCTCCGTGCTCTCGCCCTTGGCGTGCGGAGGCCAGCTTCACACGGGCACCCACTGGTGCCTCCCCCGCCCTCACTTCAGGGCTGCGCTGGCTCAGGCTCTCTCCACTGCTCCGTTCTCTCTCCTTTGGCGGGCAGCTGCCAGTTTCACGCTGACATTCAGTGTTGCCTCTCCCTCCCTTCCTTCAGGGCTTCGCCTTGTCGTTGCTCAGCTTTCGTGCTTTCCGCCCTTCTTCCAAGAGGGCTCTTGCTGTGAGTTGCTCGTCGCTGGCTGGATCACTAACTCTCAAAACTTGTAAATTGTATTAGCACACCTCTTACACAACTCTGATAGCTTAGTACAATGCAACTTATCGCAATCCTTGATTCTGCAAGCGACTCAAAATATCAGGATAAATGTAGAATAAAACTTTCAATGATACTATGCCGGTTCATGCCGAACTCAGCTCTTAACAACACATCGTCCCTTCTCTCTGCGAGACACGACACCCATGGTTGATCTCGAGGCCATGCCCCGGAGGCCTGCCCCTTGCAAGACTGCCTTGCATAATCTGTGTCCTTGTTTAGATATGAAATTCTCTCTCCTATGCGCGTCTCTTGCGGGAAAAAAGAACAGATGCCCTCTGTCTCGTTTTTCTCCCGTGGCCACAGCCTGGCTGTCCCCCCCCCCTTTTGACCTTTGACTGGCTGATTTCGATCACCATGTTCATGTTTTTGTTTGCATTCCTCCCCTCCTCTGCCTTCGTGGCGTTTGCTATTTCGAGTGGAGGCAGTCCCCTTTCATACGTATGTATTACTATCATGTGTTGTGTCATATTTTTTGGAAGACACAGGCGGCCGGGGAGGCTCTGATTCCATGGAATACATTTTATCTGGTCTTGTGTGGCTGACCTATTTTCCTTGTATCTGTTTTGAGTTATCCTAGGTCTAATACCTCATGATTATTTTTTGGTTAATGTTTAACCAAGATTGTAATGTACCATTAGATGTTACCTCCAGTATTTCAAGGGTTTCATTAACCTTTGCTCCCTGTCTGTATCCAGGGATCCGTGCTTGTTATTCTAGAATTATATTTTTATATCCTGAGGTTGGCGATATAACTAAGTGTTCACTTAAGCTTCCTTGACTGCCGGAATTCATATTCCTTGGTTCTCTTGGTAAATTCACGTAGATAGTAAGATACAATAACAAACAATATATGAGTTGAATAAGGGTGAAATAAAGTAAGTAATAATAAAGCCACTAATATAGACTGCAGTCTATAATGTCGATTTGTTCTTTTTGCTACGTTTAGAACTATTACCGTTAAAGAAAACGCCAGTTGTAATGTCCGTTTTTCCCTGCTATGTGCCTGTGTTTTACGGCTCTGGAGATTTTTGTGTGAACTGTCCAAAAGGTTCGGGGAGGTCATGTTATATGGACCATTGACAATCTGGAGATTTTCCAGATCGTCGTTAACCTCCCTTTGCCCCGGAGTTTATTATTTAATGGGTCTTAATGACCTCCAGATACTTGGTGTGGCTTGTGGGAGGTAGCGGGGTTGAGGGTATTTGTTTCATTTTTTCATCGATTATGATTAAAAATATATATTGGCAGAATTATTCTTAATATTAATTTTTGGAAAAAAGCCTACATATACAACACCCCTGACGTCTCCGTTGGTGTCTCTCTTGGTGTCTCCCCTGGTGTTTCTGACGGTGTATCCCCTGATGTCTCCCTTGGTGTCTCCCTTGGTGTCTCCCCTGGTGTCTCCGACGGTGTCTCCCCTGGTGTCTCTTCTGGTGTCTCCCACAGTGTCTCCCCTGGTGTCTCCCACCGTGTCTCTCCTCCTGTCTACCACGGTGTCTCCCACAGTGTCTCCCACGGTGTCTCCCCTGTGTCTCCCACGTGTCTCCCATATCTCCCGTGTGCAGTGAGAATCAAGACAGTGAAATTGAGCCACCCGCAGGACGTGATGAATGAACACGAAAAGACAGAAGATCTAAGAAGACAAGGTCGCTCATCTGTGTCTCAATGGCCAGGGTCAGAACCACTCAGCCAGAACCGCTTAGGATCTGGGTTCAATCCCTGGAACAAGCGTTGCTCCTCCCGTCTCAGGGTTTATAATGGCCGGGTCAGCGCAATATGCTAGCGCCAATTAGAGTTTGGTTTCTGTGATTTGTTTTATGTTGCTGATTATATACAATGCAACGTCAAGTTGTCATGAAGTGGGCATTGTTAGGTGGTCACTTCCCCTTAACTTTGTAACCGTGTTGTGAATTGTTTATTGCGTTTGTTTAGTGTAATTTTGCTGCACCTCCAGTGTGAAATTAAGCAAACTTCGAAATGTTCTTCATCTGTGCGAGCTCGATATAAGCCCATCGTGATAATTCATGAAAACTTTACATGCCCCCGAAATCTCAGAGCGTATCTCATCTCAGGCATTCAAAGGAACCGCCACTCCCCCACCTCCCCCAGCTCCAGCTGTCCCTGTGTGGCATTCATTTTTGTATTCAGTGTGCGCTTGGAAGAGCAGGCCAAATATCCACTGCTGGTGGTCTCAAGTGGAGGCTCTTCCACCAGCAGTGATGTGAGCAAGCAATTGCAGGGCTGCTCCTCTAGCCACTGTTTTTTTACCCAGGTCGCCCTTTCAAATTGGAACTAATCTGGTCTCTTGAGTTCCCACCTGGTTAAACCAAATCCACTCTACTCCTTCGCTCACCATCTCACTCATTCACTCACTAACTCATTCACTCACTCACTGAGCATCTCACTCGCTCGTGTACATTATAATAACCCTATAACACGTATTGTGACGCACTTGCTGCCAGTTGTACAAGAATAACGAAGCAATTGCAATTAAATGCACTATTAATGTAATGGACCGCCAATTATTTCCATTACTCCCGAAAATGTTTTGCGAAAGTGCTAATCTCACGAGCGTTCTATCTCTGACACACAGCCATTGAACCCAGAATGTGATAGGTTCCTACATGTTCTTGACAACGTCATTATGAACACTCTGAGAAAAAGTGAAATACATTGTGTGATCCAGGGCTTCAACCTAGAATCTCGCTATGTCCGGCATGACCATTATGAACCTATGGGCGCCACGGTGGCGAGATGTTAATGACCTCTCCTGGTATGCAGGAGGTCGTGGGTTCGACCCAGACCCTGACACCTGCTGTACATTTGGAGGTTGCATGTCTTTATCCCGGTGGTAGCGTGGATTTTTCTCCGGGTCATCCGGTTCCCCCCCCCCCTTCCCCCCGCCACACACGCATTTAGAATCAACATCACGCATTCAGAGTATTTGGCTGCAATACATTTCCACGTGATAAGCCACTTCGTTGGGCTTTCACTTGTGAAAGCCGGGTCGCTTCTGGTAAAGAGCTGCAGAGCTCAGTGGGCCTTACCTGGAAACAGGAAGTCGTTTTATTTTTTATTTAAGCCTTAGATCTTCTCTGCGTTGCCAGGTCATGAAGGCTTCTGTCGATGAGTGACGGAGATTTTTTTTGTTTTTCTCCAAAACTCTGGAACTCGTTTCCCATGAGATTTCAGGATCTCATTGAGTCCGTGGACTATTTTAAAATACGTCTTTGAAAAACTATCCCGACACTTGCTCCCATAATCTTTGTTAGTGAATTTGGCAAATTGCCATGAGCGTTGTGTTATGCGTTTTTAGTTTTCGGGAGTTTTTTTTTTATGCCGAGTGTCCACGTCTCTGTGTCCTGTACAGAGTTTTTAAATCATTGATGGGGGGCACTATATACATCGAATATATTATTATTATTAAGCTCTGCCTGGTAGGTCTTCAGTACAAGCTGGGGCTGGCATTGGCGCTGATGTTATTATCCACGACTGCAAATAGAACTTCGGATCATTCGGATCACGGCGCAAAGCGCACCCACTGCTTCCCACACTCGGAGAAAAAGAATTACGATGGCACCGTGGCACTTGTGACAGGCCACAGTGCCGACCTTCAAAGGTGCCACTCGCTAACAGCACTTGCCCCGAACAGTCTGTTAAGGGTACACGGGGGATCACTGTCTTTGGGACCAGATTTATTGTAATGTAACAATTTACATCGAATTACACACACGAGGTGCGTTTTAATTACCAGGATTGTATTTTAATGTGAAGTATCAGATTGCTTTTTTCTTTTGTGAATTTATTTTGACGACAGTGGAATAAGCTCAACATGGATGTATTATATTTAATTAAAATCGATACGAAATTTGTAATGTAAATAGAATACCTGTGAAATTTTGTAATTCACATTAAATCAAAGGGTGTCGATCTTTCCACGTAAAATACACCATGGCAAGATACGGAAGTCGTACGATTCTTGAAATAAAAAAGAATGACATTCCTTTTGAAAATGTTCACTTTTAATGTTTTTGTAAATCGATTTATGTGATTGACAGTTGTGTATATTTGTGTGCGGGGGAGCGGTGGCGCAGCGGTTAGCACGCTCCGCTACGAACCCCAGCTATGACCTGAGTTCAATTCCCGCTCACGGTCACCAACACCGGTGACGATTGTCTGAACCGGTCAATGGGCCTCCCCTAGGTCGACTCAGCCTCAAATGAGTACCTGGTGCGGTGTGGAAACATCGCCACTGGTGAGAAACAAAGGCGGTCGGGCTTGATAGGTGCCACTTGCTAACAGCACTTAGGGGCCGTCCATAAATGACGTCACGCACCTGGGGGGGGGGGGGGGGGGGCAGACATTTGTGACGATGTGTGACGAGGGGAGGGGGGTTAAATTTCGATTTAAAGCTTTCGTGACTGCAAGGATTCATCTTCTTTGGTTCTTCGGTAAAGTCACGTAGAATGAGAATAAAATAATAAATTGATAAAATAAAATAACACAATAAATTCTCACGACGTTTCGGCCACAACACAAGCGGCTTTCATCAGGTAAAGGGACGAGACTGTCTGGAGGACAGCGCTGGAGCGAACAGCCAAGCTCAGACCGCGACCTTTAAGCTGTGTGAGAAGAAACAGCGCCTTGACAAAGGAATTATCATAGAATTTAGCATTGAAATAGCTGAGTGATTAGCTTGTGACTGGTCACAGAAATGCTATGTTAAAGTCAAAGCATACACATCCACAGAGGCACCTAGTACAAATCAAACAGGATAATTTAGCATTGAAATAACTGAGGGATTAGCTTGTGACTGGTCATAGAAATAGCTATGTTAAAGTCAAAGCCTACACATCCACAGAGGCACCTAGTACAAATCAAACAGGAGAATTTGGCATTGAAATAACTGAGGGATTAGCTTGTGAGTGGTCATAGAAATAGCTATGTTAAAGTCAAAGCCTACACATCCACAGAGGCACCTAGTACAAATCAAACAGGAGAATTTAGCATTGAAATAACTGAGGGATTAGCTTGTGACTGGTCATAGAAATAGCTATGTTAAAGTCAAAGCCTACACATCTACAGAGGCACCTAGTACATGGACGCCAAAGGGGCTGCAACAACTCGGCTATCATACAGTAAACCGATGTAAAAAAACCTAAGTCTAAATTACATCAATATGATAAATGTACTCAATATATTCTTCAATAAGCTGAGCTATTAACAGTAACTGGGTATACACTACACTATATAATGAATACTATATAGTAAACCAATAAAAAACTAAAATATAAATTACTTCAATGTTATCAATAAACTCTATATATTTGTAGTGCCGTGAATTCACTCGGACGACAACCGTCTTTCTTCCACCGTCACTTTTATTCCATCGTTCCGTACACACAGTGATTCTCCTCTTCGCTCTCCGCCAACTCGGACACTCCGATTCACCTCAGCATCGTCCGCGCATCCTTTTCCACACACAGTGGTTCTTCCTCTATCTCCTCACACACAGTGTCCTGTCTGTCTATTCACACACAGTGACTCTATCTATATATTCACACACGGCGACTATCTCCGCACACACAGTGACTCTATCTCCGCACGCACAGTGACTTGCCTGTCTATTCACACGCAGTGACTCTATCTATCTCCGCTAATGCTAACTCTCCCTTATCGCTATTTACTGTCTTTTGGGTTCGACTCTCTATCTATTCTTCCCTAACATTGCCAGCTGTCCTCTTCGTATCTCTCCACCTCTCGCCAACAACTGCCCAGCAACAACTCCCCCTCCGTTCAAATCACCAAGCGTTTTATCCCCTTTACAATTAGCCTTAATTGCCACGTGGCTCGCTGGCATTTTCCCGCCAGCTCGCACCTGTCCCCTCGGTCAGACTTCGAGACGCCGCCACTTAACGCTAACAGCCTCTCGACCAATCACAGCCCTCGTGCCACGACTCCCTTAATTACTTCGGGTTGTTTATGCCACCCGTGACTCGACCACCTGTTCGACCTCATGTGACCCACTCTCCCTGTATGTCTGTATGTACTGTATGTGGTCAATTCCTATGCATATCGTTTACTCCACTACATCACCCCCCCCCCCCGTGATGAAAGAACCTAGCCGTCCCCGGCTACGATATACTCGAATTGGAGTAGTGTAGTGAAGCGGACGGAATGATGACAACATATATACATAACGCATTTGCAATACACAACCATTTTTTACAACCACACAACGACACGCACACAACACCTTTATACAGAATTCCCAACCCCCAAAGTCAACGTATTGTATTCCTCCTGGAACGGGTTCCCGCTGCCGGTCCATCTCCCCTGCACGGGATACCCTGCTGTAAGGGAGGGCCTCGCTCGTCTCGCCAACGAACCCTGCGCCCATCCCTGTCCCCGCGACACTCAGCTGGCGGGGCTGTCCGTTGTTCACGGTTGGGACGGCCATTGATCCGGATCTGTGGCCGTTCAATTGGCGTCCGGTCGGTAACCCTGCCCAAAAAGGGCGATCCTGCAGGCACACGGGGGGCAGATCTCTGGGACACGCGCACTTGTGACCTCCCCACAGGTTCGTCGGACACATCCAATACAGGCCGCTC